TTAAAATTCTTCCTTTATGTCATAACTTTACTAGTGTATGCAAATTACTTGAACCGCCAAAACCACCAGCACCACCAGCACCACCAGCACCACCAGCACCACCAGCACCACCAGCACCACCAGCACCACCAGCACCACCAGCACCACCAGCACCACCAGCACCACCAGCACCACCAGCACCACCAGCACCACCAGCACCATCAGAACCATCAGAACCATCAGAACCATCAGAACCATCAGAACCATCAGAATCACCAGAAACACCATCGGAACCAGAAACACCACCAGCACTACCAGCACCAGAGACGCCATCAGAACCAGCACCAAAACCACCAGAATCACCAGAATTGCCAGAGCCAAAACCAACACTGACAAATTCAACTACAATATTAACAAGTACACAATTATTAACGATATGTTTACCAACTACATCAGCTACGCATTCATCAGTTACGCATTCATCAGTTACACGTTCATCAACTACACGTTCAACTACACGTTCAATTACACGTTCATTAAGGCCTAAACCAACGACATCCTCTGACAATAGACATACAATAGGCTTTGGAATTAGGCCAAGAAAATTAAGGGGAACAGAGTTAATCTGGATGGTTGCAGGAACAATACTGGGAATGTGGATAATTGTTTAAAATTAAAACAATATTCATTTATTAGTATTTTTATGAAATGTTTTTGATGATTGTATAGTTAATACTCATGTATAAGAATGAAAAATTCATTTGAATATTTTTAGGAAATAAATTAAAAAATTAAGTTATGAATATTAAATAAAAAAATTATATTTTATAAAGTATTAATGTTTTACAATTGATTATAATTTAAAGAATAAAGCCTTTTCATTTTTAATTGTATTATGAAAAATACAAATATAGTTAAATACATTCAATGTATTTATTTTACTATTTTTGAAAATTACTTTTTTTTTTTCTAAAAAAAAATCAATTCTTTATAAATTGATCATATTTTTTACAATTAATTCAAATTCAAAAAAAAGAACAGTCTTTTATATATTAAAAAAATGCCTTGAACAATCAAAGAAAACATGCATCATAGTTCTATAAACATAATATAAAATGAAAAATTCCAAAAGTTCCGTAAATAAGAAAAATACATAAAAAGCCAAAAAGAACAATAAAAAAACAAATGCATGAATTTCCAAAGCAAACTTAAGAATAAATTAATTTAAAAGCAAAATGACAAAAGATATTGAATCTTTCAAATGCTAAATATCTGAAAAATGAACAAAAATATCTAGTTTTAAGAATATTTAATATATCATAAAAAATAAATTATTATTAAAAAACCTGAATAACGTAACAATGCCTATCTATCTATTTATCGCATATCGGTTATTAATATTATCGTTTATCGTTATTTTTTAGTGAGAACGATATTTTTTCGATGTCAAATATGAAACATTTTTTATAAAAATTATTATTTGTTGTCATTGTAGATGAAAGCATTCGTATTAGCCAGCCTTCTTGGTATAGCGTATGCTTTCTCAAAAAATATTGGTACCATATTTTATTTTTTTATGTTTTTAACTTTTTTTTTAGAATTTGTTCATAAAAGATCTGCGTCAGATCCATCACAAGATCCATCATTAAACTTATTACTTGATTCATCATTAGATTCATTAGGGTATAAAAATTTTTAAGCAGCAACAAAACATACAAAATTAACATTTTTATGCAGCGAAGAAAAAGTTTTATCTTTGATTCTAGGGAAAAACGCAATAGATACTCAATGTGGAGAAAGACTAGAAGAATATTGCAATAATTTGAAAAATACTGGTTTAGTTCCAGAGAATGTGCATCCTGCATTAAATGGACTTTGTAAAAATGCAGAGCAGAAATGCACAGGTCTCAAAGATAAAATTAATACTACCTCGAATAATATCTGGAAATTTCTTTTTGATATTACTATAAATACTTCAAGTGGAGAATTTCATTTAAAAAAAATTCACTGCAACTATGCTCATGTCCAATGCATGTTTTTCCGAGAATTTCCTAAGTTTTCTTCTATATGCGATGAGATAGTTGAACAATGTTATAATCAAATAAATGAAGATTTAGCTCATGAAGTTCTTTTAAGGATTCTTCCTAGGAATTTGAAAAGTCAAGTAGCATGTGAAGAAGAAATTAAAGAATCATGTTTCAAGTTAAATAGAGAAAGTTACCATTTACTCTGGTCTTGTTTTCTCTTGAAGAAAACGTGTGAAATTCTCTTTAATAAAGCAAAAGACGACTGTGGAGCTCTTAAAGATCTTGAAAATGCATTTAAAAATACTGACATATTAAAAGATGACTGTTATCCTTTACTCAGGAAATGTTATTTCTACCCACTAAACTGCAATGAAGATGATAGACAAGGATGTGTGAAACTTAAGAATCTTTGTAAAAAAAAGAATATCACATACCCCCCCCCCCCTCCCCCTCACAGTCTTTCTTTTAACCCATTAGACTTTCCACCTGCATTGCAGGAAAAAATAGGTCTTCAGGAGTTTTACACAGAAGCGTTAGCTCTTGGTATTTTCCTTGAGAAATCCTTGTCAACAAAGTTTTCTCATTTTTTCTTATTTTCAAACTATTATACAAAAGACAATCTAAATAATTTAAACAATACTCAGTCTTGTACTAAATCTCTAGGAAACTGTACTTCTTTTGAATATCTAACAAAAGAACTGAAAAATATGTGCAACACAACTGACAAAGACAAAGCATGCGAAGAATTAAACAATGAGCTAGAGAGAGAATGCAAGTCTCTTAAATTAACACTCTATAATAAAAAGCTTTCCAGCGCAAGCGATACTTCTACTAAATCTGAATCCTACTCATGGAACAAACTACCAGGGACAATTTCCAAGGAAGACTGTATAAGCCTTAACTACAAATGCTATTATATGGACCCATATTCTAATAATATCCTTTACAGTGCTTGTAAAAATTTAAGACTAGAGTGTTTTAAATCGGCAATTTACGGACAGGCAAGGGATGTGTTAGAGGAAGGGTTGTTTGGATTGTTTCACAACCTAGATTCTGATGGAATTAAAAAATGCGCACTTAAATTATTAGAAAGGTGCAAACTAGTCAGAAACAACAATATAAATCTTCTCTCAATGTGTTTAAAGCCAAAAGAGACATGCGAAGCACTTGCAGAGGATGTAGAAAGAAAGAGTCATCGTCTGCGGCATGTTTTAGATAAAACAAGAGATTATCCCCGAGAAAAGGATTGTCTCGTTCTGGAGAAACAGTGTGAAGACCTGACAAAGGATTTTGAAGAGCTTAATGGTCCTTGCGCCACGCTAAAGAGGAATTGTGCTCATTTGAGGAACACGAAAGAAGTAAAAGACAGTTTGTTGAGTAAAAATACAGATATTTTGGCAAACGTCGATAATTGTACAACATATTTAAATAGGAAATGTCCTCGGTGGTTTAGGAGGGAAATAAATCCATTCAATCTTACATGTGTAGCACACCACAAATCATGTGTTATAATAATTGAAGACGTGCAAAATCATTGTTTGGCATTTAAGGAAAATATGGAAAGTCATGATGTTATTAAAAAATCAGATGGCAATGAAAAAGATAACGTTTGTTTTCTTTGGAGTGGATACTGCGATATGCTTGTGGAAAACTGTCCTGATAAACTAAAGCTCGACAATGGTGAAGAAGGGGTTTGCATGAAGCTCAAAAAAAACTGTGAGACGTTTCGCGAAAAATTACCTCTATTAAAAGCCCTCATGTACAATATAAAAGGTTCTTTAAAAGAAAAAGATACTTGCATTAAGAAACTAGATGATTATTGTACAAAACCAGCACACTCAAACAAGACTCTTGAAGATTCATGTAAAGAATATAATAAAGACGAAAACACAAGAAGTGAAACTTGTAAAAAACTTATCGGATTGAAGGAAATATTGTGTGATACCTTGCCAGTTAAACTGAGTAAAGCAGCTAAAGACTTGGAAAATAGAGCAAACGAATTTAAAAAAACCAAGCAAGAAACTGAAAAAGCTATTAATGATTCTGGTTTATTCTTGGCAATTTCTCAAACAGCAGATGGGAAGCAGAATCATCACCTTAGTGTACGTAGCAATATTTACAGCAATAACACGGCTTATGTTAGACTTCTACGTCGCGAGGATGCCCCGGACATAGAGCCATCAGTGCGTCAAGGGTTAGCGTTTGATCTGGTGTCTTTACTTATAGAGTTGTATTTAGAAGCCAAGGGCATCTGCAATCATTTTATCCAAGAGTGTGTCCTTGAAGATGGTTGTCCTAAGTTTAAAGATTCATGTGACAAAATACGTAAGTCTTGCAAGGAATTTGTGTTGCCTGATGCCAAGCTTCGTGCAACAGCGTCTATATCAACAACGACGCTTACAGAGTCAACAACTGTAACAGATACTCAGTCAGAATCTACTGCAGCAACTACAATCATGGA